AACTTTAAATGTGAACAAACTGCATGCTAAATGTGGTTAAAATCGGCGAGGAATCCACCACACTGAACATTAAAAACCGGTTATACCGAAAACATCCCATTCAGAGCTCAGGAATCTGGTTGATGTTAAAAATGCATGAATACTAGTGTTCCTGTGATTAAAATCCTCAGACTATGACTCATTTTTCTAAAGTTTCCATAGAAAAACTTTTCTTCTTGGTAAAGCAAAAAGTTCCAGGTAATTTTACTTTACAAACTAAAAATTTCAGTTTTTAGATTTTGGGTTAAACTGGTAGGTTTAGTAGTGCTAAAAATTTGAAAAAAGAAAACAACTCACTCCTGAAAGATCGATAACTAATTTTCAGGTCTTGTTGTTGGGGATTTAAAGAGGGTAAAATTGAAAAAAAGAAGAGATTTACGACTAATTTCGTAAATCTAAACAAAAAACATTGTATTATTCGGCTTGGTAAATTCGGCATAAATAATTCAATTGTAAGAGCTTCCTTTTTTAAATTCTAATGATACATGAGAATCGCATAGCTTGAAGGTCTAAAGATTTTTTTCCAAAGTTTATTACTTTTTTCAGTGTGTGTTTCTTTACATGAATAAATCTGTTTATAAATAAATAAGTAAATTAATAAGTGGAGGGGTGAGTGAGTGAATTGGTGAATGAGTAAATAGGTAAATACATATATACATATTTATTTAGTTATTTATGTGTATTTATTTGCGTATTTATATGATATGTTACATTTGTTGATAATATCATATTTTTGTTTGAAATCGGGAAAAAAGTAAGGTTTTTCATACCACTGTATTTAAAAAATGCTGAAGCTGATTAAATTGAGGCTGTTTAGTTTGAATTTTTTTCTTTGACGAGTTTTTGCATCGTTTTATGGACAAGAGAACTGTATCGTTATTGATGCTGTCGAGAGGAACGGAAATGAGACTCAAAAAATGGCTTGACAGCGACGAAAAAAAATTGGTATAGATGTTTTTAACATCTAACTGTATGATTCACGCTATCTTGGGGCAGCAGAGTTTTTATAATGGCCTTATTTTCTTTAAAATGCAACAAGGAAGATGTTATTTTATACAAGAAGAAGAAAAAAAAAAGAGTTGCATGGGATTAATGGCATTGTTCAGTCTAACATTGATACGTTTTTGAAGAAGAGCAAACTTTTTAAAAGAATACGAGAAAAAGGATTATGTCAAAAGAAGAAGAACGGGAAATTTGGTTAAGAGAGATTTCTCAAAAAGGTGGTGAAGTGAGTGTGATAAGCAACTGAATAGAGCAGATAGTGACTTCCGATATACCTCATCGTTGCATTTCTTCGCCTAAAGCCCGTCTTGTTTTTTTTTTTTCACTTTTGCTTCTTTTCTTCCTGTTACTTCTTTCCTTTTTGTTTAAAACTGAAAATTTATAAATTCATTTTGCAACGTTATTCGCAAAGAATTAGTAAATTAACTAAAACAGTATAATAATGGCGGTAAGACTAGAACAAAAGTAAAGGTTTTTTGCGTTTGCTGGTTTTTTTTTTTTTTT